CAGACAGACAGACAGACAGACAGACAGACAGACAGACAGACAGGTACACACACCCATACAGAACACAATGAAATTCCTACACGACTGCAGTTAGGTTCCTTTCGGAAGCCACAAATCATAATATATTAATGATGACAACTTATAAAAAGGGGTTTTTGTCAGTGAAAGCAATTATCTACTTCATCGTTTTGGTTATTGGAGTTCACATTATGTAAAGCAAAGGCATAAAATAAAGCATCTGTGGCGTTCAGAAATGTATCAAGTTGATTTTGTTACTCAGGTTTGTTTTTTTACTTTAATCGAATCTTTCATTTAAAATTGTCATGCAATTAAATATTTTCAGCCACTTTCGGAGTTACCATGTGCAGAGAGCGATTCCGATCAAAGCGAAGACAGGTACGTTCAGCTAGCGGAATTTGTGAATTTCCTGCTCTCGTTTTTTGGTATATTTTCTCGCTCATGAATGTATACCGTGAGAAGAGGGAGGCTGTAGTCTGGGCAAAACATCTCTTCCCGTGGTCGCGGTAAATCCACGGAAAAATTAGCTGTCGCCTCTCCAGGATCGGATCCAAATGTGTAGGATTTGTAAGAATTCTCCCAGGGTATTCCCCATTAACAGTTCTTGAAACACTGTACTTTGGAGTGTTAGTGAAGGTGATGTATGCTCCGTACCGTATTGAAAAGTCGTTTACACTCGTCCACATGGTCGAGTTAACGATGAGGTGAAGTTACACATTGAAAGCTTGGAAGTACAGTTCACGATGAAGTGGTTTCTGAGGTTCTGACCAGAATGAATCTGTGGCCCCCAAGAATATTACACGGGTTGTTGTAGGCCGGATAATCGCCTAGATAATGCGTATTAAGGGCTCTAAAACTATGGCCGCAAACACTCAAAGTGGCCGTGTTATATCGGCCTTGTTATTACTGCACTATTCTCAGGACCAGAGAAATAGTACGCTTAAATGAGAGACACCCAGATGGCTATGTCGTGCAGGTCCCTTAATTGCTACTTTTTTTGTGGTCTTATACCTCTTGGAATCCAACAATTTTCGTGTTTTTTTCGCCATCCTTGCACTATTCTGCTCCAAGACTTCCATTGTTTTACTTGAACTGAATACCTCAAATTGTCATGAAGTGCCTTTCCAATCTTCCTTTCTTTGGCCTGATTCCTCTCCCAGAGTGGTGTTCCCGGATAACTCTTCCTGTGTTTATTTTTTTTCAATTTGAGGCCCTTCTATTAAATTTTTTCCCGCGCCGCTTCACAGTACTACGACATCAATCTGATCTCCGTTTTAGTGACGCCGAATTCCTCGTACATCCAATACTTCGGAGCCTTATCAAATCTAAGTCTGCCTACACAATGCCAAAAGAGACGCCTCGACTGAAAACCAGTAAAACAGCATTCGAGGTGAGCCTCCCAGCTGAAGTGAACAATCGATTGCCTGTGGAGTTGTCCGGACGGCTGTTATAAATGCAGGAGGAGGTGCACGGAAATGTCTAGGAAAAGGACAGCTCGGGCATCGAAGAAGAACTCAATTAATTCTTACAGAAGCTTTGCTACTTCGGCACTTACCAATCGGTAGTTATTTAGATAAATCTATCAAAAATGTGGGAATCAACAGTCGATGATGAGGCCCCGGTGGCGAACTTCACACCTGATCTCGATCAAAAATGGCCAGAACCCGATGCACCATCACCGCCTGTCAAACTTTACTTCCCCCCTTATATAATTCCGGTGAGGATTTTTTTGACTTTAACGTCTCTCAGAACCGTTTTTGCCATTGTATGCACACCAGTGACGTCTGTTAGTTATGTACTTTCAAAGTGTTATTGACTGTGTTGGTTTCACCTTTCAGCGCTCACCACTACGGCCAAGAAATTCTTGCTGCTCAGCTCCATTTAACGTTCACACGTATCGTTCTGCGTCAAATTCGCCCATAGGTAGGGTTCCTCCTTGTTCCATCCTACTTATGTTCTCAAATATGTCTGTTACAGAACAAATATCAAGTTGGTCTGCTCCCGAATACTTGAACGACAGTGAGAGTGATTATGATGATGATCCCGAAGAGGAGCACGTAACGAGATCATGCTCCTGTCAGGGACCCGATCATGATGTGACAGAAAGGAAAACTTCTTTCCTGAATAGCTATCCAGTGATCGACTCCGCACAGCAAGGTACGCCCAGGGTTAGTGGTCTCCACCACCACCACCCTCCCTATTCTCTGAGCTGCAACCAATTCTCTTTCGTCAAAGTCAGAAGAATTTCTATGACACTTCTGAGAACCTTCTGTTTCTGGGAGCCTTCTTCCACTTTGGATCAGTTTCATGGCGTCCACGCCTTCCTATGGTTCCTTACAATGGCCAATGGAGGACCTGCTGGTCAATGAGTTCGTTGTCCGGCTGAGAAGGACTCTCAAGGCTTCTTGTTGAGATGTCGTGTCGAAACACCCCACTTCACCCGTTTCTTTCCGTGCTCTTCGCGCTGCCGCGTCCTCTCCTTCTCGTCTTGTCCGTAGTATTTTCATTATGTGGCGCCTGCCCTCCTATTGGAAGCGCTATTAGCGCCCCCCTTGGATGGATGCTACGCTTCTCGAACGAACCCTCCATTGCCGCCCTGACATGTCAAGCAGCCTGACATCCTTCCCTAACCCCGTCGACGACGCCGACTGCAATTCCCCCCGAGTCGTCGTCGTCATTTTGTCATCTCCGTACATGCTATCTTTAATGTGGTCGGCATTAGTGCAAAAAAGCAACTTAATGGGCCATAGTCCTTGGTCATTGGAGCGGTATTTCATATGGGGAATTAGCTTGTTTGGGGGGTTTCGTCCCAGAGTTAATCATCTCTTGTTTGAAGTGTTTCGTTGAGCTCCACGCCATTGGTCATATCCGTTGCCCGGCACCTAATGCAGCCCGCTCGAAACTAATTGTCTGGGCTCTCCAGGGCTCCCTAAACAGCCCTCACTTTTTATTCCTCTGTTTCTACATTTACGATTAGAGCTTCTTTGCCATGCATCCGTCGACAAATGATCTTCTGCTTCCAGTGCCGTCACTTTGCTCGATTCGCCTTCCATCCAGCAGCGGCACTACAACAGACTCTCTCTCACCTCCAAGGCCTCTATCTCCAGTACTTGGTAGGCCACCAGTTAGTGGTGAGTTGTGGGAAAAGATTTACTGAGGCCATCAACGGGACCTATCCGTTTCTAGCAAACCGGATCTCAGGATCACGTTCGATGCAGCTACGACCACGACCCGAATTATCTTCTTTTGTCGACAACTCTACCTCAGATGATGACTCACCCCAACAGGATCCATGGCCTCAACAGGAAGTCCGCTACAAATTGGTTTGGGTGTTTTTTCTTACTTTCCAGTAATAGAAACTTATTTTTAGGTTTGGCCGGAAGAAGATGTGATGAGTCGTTCGTTGCGAACCGGATGGACGGCTGCCGAGCCAGTAACGCAAGTTCAACGGCCGCAATCCTCCCGTACCGGATTTGGAGATGCCCGGCATGTGAGAGTTTCCGGAAGCAGGTCTATGCATAATCAAATCCAATATGCTCCGTCTCAGCTCGAGAGCTCTACCCGTCCTCGCCTAGACGAGGCTGAAAGGTTGTCATACGTTTGTTCGTTTTGTTCTGAGCCGTGCTATAAGTGAAGAAGGCAATCAGGCCATTTTAAAGTAGTAATCATATGATATTCAGGCGAGACTTGATTACTCGAAGAGCATGGATCGATCGAGGGAGCACAGTTCAACTGCAAGATAGCGCCGCTGCCGAAAGGAAAACACCTCAGGTGGCGGAGACGTCGTCAGGGTTAAACATCGGAACACGATGTGAAAGCCAATCGGATTATCGCAGTGATTCCGAGCCGGCAGATTACATGAAGCGATCGTATACAACTGAGGAACTTAAACGTGAAAGGCGACGACTGCCGAAAAGGCCTGACGTGCAGCCATTCCTCAGTAAGTTTGGGTCTTTCATACATATACCGAACTGACTGGACTTCATGAGAAGCCTCTTGGAAAAACCCAATTTCTCGTCGCTTTAGGTGAGCTACCTTCATCGTTACCCCTTCATGGCCAAACCGTGGACGACCTCGGGGAGCCACGACAGCAAAGTGATTTTTCCGTAAGAGAAGGCGATGTACACTATTACTGCCCAGCAGCATCACCAGCAGAACGTCGACCTTCCAAGTAAGTCAAAATAATTCCGAGATCAATTTTGGAGGCAAGTTCATGCACCCCAGGGTGACATATCAATGGCGCAGTTAAGCGGGGCTGCTTAAGGGGGCTCATTCACTGGGGGAAAAAAACGCGAGCGCCTGCAGTCATAGTACTTTTCCCTGCTCTGCTATGATTCAGTCATTAATCATTGAATGGACCGCTTTCAATGGCTAACTTCTAGATTCATCCATACTTTAAGGATTCGTGCAGATTCCAACTCTCTTATACTTCCAACTATCCAGCCTGAAGGCACCTAAAAACCGAAAAAAGACGGTAGTGGTTGGGGGAACACTTGGAATCTAATTATCCCTTCTGTTGCCCGAAAAATGAACTATCGAGTTGTGTTACAAGTTGCGCTATACATTCTTGTACTATGAGAACTCAGCTTGGGAATTCACTGGGGGTAATTGACTAGTGACGGATGTGGAGGTACAAGAAAGAACCAGACCATGCCGAGCAGAACCATTCTTGAGTATTACCGAAGTGGCTTTCCCATGCCTTGGAATCCCTACCCTTCTACAGACTTGATTCGATGGGAGTTCTCCCAAAGCCCAAATCTTCATGTACTCCACTAAGGTACTTCGTCAACGGAAATACTCCGGGGAAAGAAAAGACAGCGTCATCCGATCCATGCGCAATTCGACGCATTCCAACAATGGCGCGCCAGGGGAAGGATAGAAAAAAGGGGCCGTTCATTTTCGGATTTCTTCCTTCCAAATTTGGCTAGTGCAAGCGGGTGCAGAGGAAGACAAATCGGACAACGGTTGACGAACATTCTGGTCAAAGAATGAGCCACTGGTATTCGCACATTTTCGGACAAGTCAAAGGCATGGCGTATCCAACCTACTAGTGGGACGCCTTCTTCGCTTTGACCTCATTACTTCGCTCTATCGAATTTCCGTCCCTAACCATAACATAGAGTCCTTTCCCTTCCTTTTGAATATCATCCATGAAATAAGAGTTCTGGGATGAATAACAGAGTCATTAGGGTTCCCCAATGGTGAAAAAGAAGCCAGGATTCCATGATCCCTTGAGTTTTTACGAGTTTTCAATATTGGGAATCGTCATTTCTCCGTCAAACGTTGCTGCCAATTACGGCATGAGTGCAGCTCGATAGCAGCTATTTTGCGGGGGAATGTTTTTGCGAAGTCAACGTTCTCTGGCATGGACTGACGTCTACAGGAATCAATAGGAGTGATTGCTGTTGCAAGCATAGGCAATGAAAGGTTCCTTCCTTCGTTTAATTAAAAATAAGAAGAATTCCAGGCTTCTAAGAACAAGGGGGAAAAGACAAAAGACGTGGGTATCTCAAACGCAGGGCTGGGGAAAATTTCTGACGCTTCCACAGTTGGTAGGCAGAGTACCTCTCAGTGGTTTTGATGGTTAAGACCAGCACCTTCTCAGTCTTTACTTTTCACACTAGTTCATGCTTCCTTTTCCCATATCCACAAGAGCTCACTAGATCTCCTCAGAGAACCCCATACGACTACTCTGAGAAACTCCATAGTATACTCAGTTACGAATCAGTTGGCCAGGCCATTCAGAAGTGCATGTTAAAAAATAGCTAGGCCTGACCTTTTCTAGAAATTACTCTCTTGTAGAGCTATTCTTGCAAACTGCCACCCATTTCCCTTTAGAATTAGCCACCGAGCCCTATACAAGCTCCATCTAGTTCACAACGACATTAAATCGGAGCAATCGGGCTTTGACAACCAGCAGGGATTACCCTTACCGGGAAGGTCATTCAATTCTAGCCGCTATTTATCAGAAGATGAACACTCTTTCATCTCGTCCGTATGTATAATACAAATACCTTCCACGTTGTTGGAAGTTTTCCAGACCTCTTGAAATGGTGAACTCTCATGGGTGAAAACGGCTGCCTTTGCAACACAGGGAACGATAGAAGGGTTTCCGAAGTTTTCCCTAGGTGGTCCTATAGTCCGCAGGGATCGTACGTGCAAGGGAAACCGTCGAGTCGAAAAACGACTTCAACAGCTACTTATCAGTTTGGCCGGCGTACAATCCCAACAGTGGCCGCGTTTTCACGGCCTTGTTGAGGCTGCAGCGTTCACAGCGAAGCGTCAAGACACTGAAGACTAGTATGCTTATGTGTTCGACACCCAGACGGTTGCAGGTACATAATTTCGTACAGCCCCCTTTCCTACTACTCTTACTCTTGGATTTCTCAGAATCCGCCAATTTTTGCGCTTTCTTCGCCATTTTGCTTTATTCTGCACCGTAACATACATTATTTTACCTCCATTGAACCAGATACTCCGACGTTATTGAGAACTGTGTCTACAAAAAAATCCCTCTTATCGTAAAGTCCCCTCATAGGACATTCGTTCCCCATTTCGGTGACATCTTGCGGAGGTTTTTTTTCGGGAATGTCGTCATCGTGACGGCTGAAAGTTGATCATGAAGTGATCTTCATCATGGAGATTACCTGGAACAACTCCGAAATGTTCGGGAGAGTTCTCATTACGAGTATCATGTTACTGCGGATCAAATCTCAGAATCCTCTAGGGTTACCTCAGTTCTGGCAAGAGCCATGGGAACGCTCTTTGTTTCTACCCGTCAGAAAAAGTCTTTTATGGAGAAAGGGGCTATCGGACAATTGTTGAGCGAATTTCGGACAGCGGTAAGGGATGGGGCAGCCATCGGGTACTGATATTGTTATTTTTCCAGTTTTTGTCTTTTTGCTTTTATTGCCAAAAGCTTAAAAATTGTACTGTAAAATTGTAAAAATTGTACAAACCAATATTATATATCGTGATAATATCGTAGGTTGTATCAGGCAGGAAGTATGTCATCCTCACTTTGTTCCTAGGAGCTATGACTTGGCATGGGATCACTTTTCGTCCACCTCCAGCTGGAGTATGAGTCCTGCTCTAGCTCAACCTTCTCCACTTCTCGCTGAGCATTTCAGCTTTTTTTTCACAATTTCGTATGATAGGATAGAGCTGGTTGGCAGGGTGGCTGAGTTGTCTCGCTTTGTACTCACGAGTAGAATTCTCCTCAGTTGAAGATAAATAAATCAAATCTCCGACCTCGGAAGGGTGGAAGGCTTGGTTGGCTCACACGGGTATCGATCCCCAGGATTCGATCGGTGTCCCATGCCTGTGTGATAGTAAGCCACTTGCTTCTACACCACCCCTCCCCAGAAGACTTGTTTTATATCCCACAGAATTATCGGGGTAACTCAAGTGCTTGATAACCTTCTCTGACAAAATTGTGTCTGTTTTATTGAAACTTCCTTTCTAAGCAAAATCTTTCGTCTTTCCTTCGGAGGAGTTTGTAGTTTAATGAGATAAAAAGGGGGAGTGCTTTGGAAAACGCTGACTTCGCCTTACCAAAAGCGAATGACGTAAAGATTCGAGAGTCATCTGAGCTCTTCTGCTATATGCATGAAACGCAGGACAATTTGATGGCGACCTTTGCGTCATCGCTTTGAAAAAACAAATTAGAGAAACATTAACATCGACGTCGCAGGATTCATGTAATATGCCCAAGAAATAGGTTTGCGTCATCGTTATGGTCGAATTGCAGCATTTCCTGATGATACAGCTCTAACTCAGTTGTCATTCATGAAAGTGGTCTGCCTTCAGGGCGTCTTTCCTTGAAATATTCAGAGGAGCCCTCATCAACCGAATCCCACCAAGGGGTTGGGTAGCCGAATTTCACCAAGGGGTTTGGTAAAAGAGGGGGAACATAGAACAGATCCGATTAAATGAAGTATACTACTTGTTGTAGAACTCTTTTAGTAAACTGGATAAGGAAAAAGGGATAGGGAATGGGAATAATGAGGTGGTAAAAAAGGTGTTCGGAAATCTTACATCAAAAATTCCTTGCTCATTGAGGTAGACTGAAGTAGCACCACCAATGAAAAGTGGTTCTTTCAACGCTGCCTCCTCAGTTCCTAATACCTGAGTGCTCTGGTACTGATCGTTATCATTTAGTTTGATATAGACGATGTCATTCCTCGAATTTCCCAAGCTAAGAGAGAGACTCTGGTGCTCCCTCAGGTCCATTATGCTTGTTAACTGCTTTACAAGTACTCGAACAGATTCGGTAAGTGTTGCAACCCATTGTGGATGGCTGCAAAAGAAACTGTGCGGAGCAGTCGGACCCTTTGAGGGGAGCGAGGGGGTGGGGGTCCTCGGGGGGTTTTCTCCACAGAACTATTTCTTATGTCTCAGAACAGTATTCTCAGCATCCCTTATTTCCAATAAATAAAGACAAAAAGCATTTCTCTGCGTGGAATGGCCTTCCACTCATCGCCAGACTGTGTAGGGGCGCCCGGGATCATTACAACGAGGTCTTGTGGTCTTCCGCTTCTCAGGATACATAAGCGCACATTCTTTATGCAGACGATCTCAACGGGCACAAGGAACTCTTTCAGTAAAGTTTTCTTGGCCCTTGTACATGCCAAAGGGATCTGATCATGAGCAACTTTCGATAAATAAGTTGCAACATAGTCGGAGATGGTGCAGTGGCAGATGAGGCACTTCACAAACGCATGGTCACGGGTTCGAGTTCTGGATCGATATCCGCCTGGACAAACCAAGCCTTCCATCCCTGCGGGACCGATTAATTTGTACCACTCTCGTCTGGGAGGATGGAAGCACTGCGCGACTCGTACATCGGCTGGCCACCGCAAGTCAAGGCCAGTATAGACCAGGCCACATACGCGTTCAGTACATCACCACGATCCTGAATGGAAGTCGATGGGCAAATGCGGGGCGCATCCTTCGGACGGGATTGATTAACGCCCAGAGGCTTAATCCTTTTATCCTTTAAGTTGCAGCACTTCTAATTGTAAATAGTGATTTTTAAGTGGTTACAGAGATCATGTTCAATGGATTTCCAATTTTGGGAGAGGAACGCTGCACGCTGGGTGCTTTGAACTAAAGAAATAGGAAACATTTTGAAACGTTTCTGGCACAGGCTGGCACAGACCAGTTGAGTGTCCACAACATTTCGTATCTATGCCTATCTATCAACTGTTGATGACGTCGGTAACGAAGGGCTCGACTTGATGACGCTTGCTCTCTGCTTCTGACAAGCGATACAACCAATTGAGAGCATACATTCTCATAACTGAGCTGGGGCGAGCTGTGGTCCCTTACACTCCACGATACAACCCTTTATAGAGGTGCAATCCCTATTTCGACTCGAGCAAGAGGCGTTAGAGAGCATGATGTTTCTCACATCTCTCTTGATATCTCGTCAGGCAAAGTGTGCCGCATTGAGTGGA